TCACTTTACACTTGGGATCACTTGGGTATCAATGCTGGTTTTACCTTGTTTTGCCGCCACACCGAACTCATGCCCCATGAATCTCATGTAACGCATCAATCTGCCATGTCGACGCTTGGGCCAAGAAAGCTGCTTGGGTATGCTCTGACGGGAGCTCAGGGACGAGGTTTTAGAAATAGATTAAAATATATTAAAATCCAAGTCCAAATTGCTGAATCTCAAGTAGGACCCCTGCATCCTACCTGAAGCCTCACTTCACTCCAAAAAATCATGACTTCTGAATCCTAAACATTGACACAGGTGGCAGGATTTAGGAATACAGCAAAAGGCAGTAGCCTCCGAACCATCAGCAGCAAAAGCAACACTGACCCATGTTATCCACTTCAACTATGAACTACGGAACTATAATCATCAGCCCGCTGCGCATCATGAATAACTTCGGAGGCAAGCTAACCTGCCAATCATATCTATGGTCTATGGTGAAGGAGGGTTCCACAAGTTCTACAAATGAGTTCTTCGGGGGGGGCAGTTCAAATTACTAGACCCTTCCCCAGTATGTCATCGGAGCTCCGCTGGGGCAAACTAAGCATGGAAGACAAGGAGAGGATTAAGGATCTTCACCTTCTGACTTGGCACGATAACACGATACCTCCAAAAAACCTCAACTTTTTCGCATCACATCCACAGATTCATCTCAACCAACCTAGTACTGTGCCATCCAAATACATTATGAAGCACTTGCCTTCCGAAAGTGAATCGTCGGATTCACCTCAATCAGCTCTGCCTAGTGCCAGCTGGTTGTGAAATCGACTCGTTCAATCGCGCCTCGATGTGACTCCTCCAAAGCCTGTGTGGGCGATCAACCGAACTAAGCATTGGTTCCTGCTGTGGAGCCCTGGAAAAATGCCAAGGACACCAGTCGAGGAAACCGGAGTCTTTACCTGAATGTTGTTTATTCTCAAAACCGTTCAAAGCAGTCGAGATTGGGTTTAGTGGAGCACTTCTTGCCGGGCCGCACATTTCCTTCGAGTAGAATGGAATGTGAGCGATAACAGAACAGGTTCCTGACAAAAACAGCAGGTAGTAAAGAACAACATCTTCTGAGGATGTTCGCCTAAGCAAATTTGGTGAGCGCAGGAAAATATAACAGCTCAACAATGCTAAAGTACTTCAGAGCTGGCCTGATTGAGCAAATTTAGGGATGACAATGACGAGCATCTATTTTTTCTGAGTGATAAAGGCAGTGCGTGTAGGTCGGGTTCGATTCCCCCTCTGCGCTTCCCTTCGTGATTCCGGTTTGGTGTTTTCAGTACTCTTGCGGACCAACAAACGGACCATGGGACTAGGCCTGCTTCTTGTTCTTTCGGATATTAATATTTATATCGAAGCAGCGATGACAACCTCGCGAGTACCCCGCCAAAATCCTGGCTAATGAACCGGAGCAAGGGATGCCCAGGTAACTGCCTGAATGGAAGTGCTTCAAAGAAACAAAGGTGTGGTGATGAAGCGATGTGACTTGGTGATTTGATGCCAGTTCCTTTTTATTGCTCCTAGTAGTATGGCCAGGAGCCCCTGATTTGATGTGATTTGTGCTTGATGTGGTGGCTTTTGCGCTGCCACACCGTGGGTTTTGGAAGTGGTAAGGTGCAGTCGGATGGGTGCTGCCCACTGGCACCAGCACCCATCCGGGTTCGTGGGTATGGAGCCGCCTGCGGCTTTAGCTACCAGCTAGGGTGCCTGACTGTACCACAAAGCGTGTTGGAGGGATTTGAAACGCTGAAACATGCTTGAAAGTGCGTGGTGTTGTTCAACATGTCTGCCTGAAAACGGAGGGGCAGTCTTTTAGGAATAGGCCAAGCGGCGGCGCAAAAGGAACGCTGCTGAAGAGAAACGATTTCCTTTCCGTGTCTTTCTGGCGGCAACCAGTCCCTGGGATGTACGCAGCTCCTACAAGAAGACCAAAGATCAACTATTTTCTGTTTTCAGTCGTCAACGCAGGGCTGAACTGTCAGGGCTATTTGGACGTGGGTAAACCGTGTGCGATCTTGAAAGGTCCTACTAGCACGCGTCCTGTATGAATGTAGGTTTCGATATGCGCGGAAACGATATTTTGACAGCCCAATCCAACTCTATTACCTGTCACCTCTCACAGCACAAGGCAGCTCCGGCGGGCTTGCCCTCTCAATACTGTTTTGCGAACAAAACAAGTGTTCAGTGGCAGAATTTGCGTCTCGGCCTAAAAGACGTGTGAGAGATGGACACAAGACGGTGAGGCTCCGCAGCTTTTCTTTTCCTTCTTTGTCGGTTGCACAAAGACCCTTTGCCCTCGTTGCCGCCTTCTGCAATGAACCGTCTTCCAGCGAGTGAAGTAAGCTGTCCTTCAGCCTCAGGGTGATGTCGACGTCAGTTCGGTTGGTTGACGTTTGTGGTGGTCTCCTATGATTGAACAACTCGATAGTAAAAGTATCATCTTTTGACACACTGAACTCAAGAAGGACGCAAGACAATTGAATTGAATGCGTCAACAAAGCAGGAGCCAGCACCAACAGAAAAAAGCTGTACACAGTCAGCCAAGCGTGACAAACAGCCTGAACAACATGGCACTATTTATGATGTCTCAGCATTTGGACGCACCGAACTTTTGCTGAGAGCGTTCTGACCAAAAGGGTGAACTGTGCGAGTTGTGCATCCCAATGTCTGAGGCAAAAACATCTTCCTCCACTCGTCGGATTCTGGCAGGATGCAAAAGGGACTTAATTTGAAAACAACAGAATCGCAGCAACTTAGCTCCGCCGATCTCTGATCACGACCAGTCGCTAGCAACTGGTAAAGCGCCATGCCAAGTCTTTTGGTTGGCTCAACTGACTGTGGGGAAAGTGTGATGTGAACCTCGTTCGCGCCGTCATCTGGCCCGGATAGAAAACTGAAGGGGGACAAGAGAACGAATTGTTGCCTTTTCCTGAGCAAAAATCCCAATTGTCAGATAACGGACGAAATTAGCACAAACTTGGAACCAGATTTGTGGTCGTTTGTGGTAAATGGCACTGATAGGAAACTGGTTTTTTGCACTTATGACTCCCTCCAAAATTAACACTAGCTTCAGCATACCAAAACTCGGTGAGTCTCAGGCTAGCTTTTGTGGCGAAAGAAACACGCACAGACTTTCTATCGACAACTTCGGCTGCCTTGGAAGGTCCTCTCCTGGCGGCGGGACCGCAGCAACTCACCACTGATACACTGGAAAATCACTTTCCTGTACTACAGAGTCTTTTCGCTTCCATGTGTATTTCTTTCAAAGTTTGGCCAGTCCTTAGCCATCAAGTCAGTACCCTGAAGATATAACTACTTAGAGATGTGCGATGCTATCTCACTTGGCAAATCTCTGGTTTGGGCAAACCGCACAGCAACAACGGCAAGGTATTAACTTTGTGGGAGGCACGTCTAGCACTGAACGCATGGCCAGCTCCAAGTTGCCATCATCCACAGCCTGCGATGTGCAATCAGCCCCGTGTGGCGAGGGTTTTCTCCTGAATGGACCCCCAACTATCTTTTTATCTACCAGGATTGCGCACCAAAGCTGAACACAAAGGTAGCTATGAAAATTGAGTGAAAATGTTAACCCGCACTGTTGGATACAAAGCAGCCTTTTGCTCCAACGAGGCGAGTCTGAAGAACAGGCATGATTCACTCCAAACTCTGTGGCTGCTCATTTTACGGTGTTGCTCGGTTTAATTGCGAGTTCCTCGCACTTGGAAGAGTCACTATTGAGTCTGGTGTCAAACGTACAAGCGAAGAAATGATCATCGCATGGACGGGGAGAGACTTGTGAGATGACATCCAACCCCAGTAGTGCATAGAAGCCACCAAGACTGCAAAGAAGAGACTCATCTTACATCATACTATCGAAATGGGCCATGACAGCTTGTGGGATCACATGAGCCTGAGAAAATCTGCCACCCGGGGGACTTCCGTGTGCGGTGAGAGGTGATGTTTGCTCCTGAAATTTTCATCTTTGGATAGCTGGGTCATGCTGGGTCCTTCGAATCACAAGTGGATCAGAGTGGATGATTAATAGACGTCTTTAGTGAAGAGCCCATGGCATCCAGCTCCTGTGACAGGGCATTGGCCATACGTCTCCGCAAGGCATCGAGGGGCTCCTGGGCCATGTTGGACCCGCCAAGGTAAAACAATGTGTAGCCATTGCCCTTACGTTGGAGGCCATCGCTATTTGTGATCTGCAGATCTTGGAAGACATTGTTTCTGCAACACCTCCAGCCGCTGCGCTGGAACTTTGGGTGGCTGTGTTTGTCTTTCTTTATGTCTGAATACAACCATTTTACTGCAAATACATGATATGGTATGTTGATGTGGGCGATTCTCTTTGTGCCCGAGAAGCATTGGTTTGTGCGCTACATCTTTACAATTTGGTCGAAATCAAACACAACAAATATCAACAGCCACTGGTGCTGCATACGGAGAAAATACAACTTGTACAATGGTTACTCTCCATGAAGGACCAACCATTTCAATGATCCGGTATGACTTCACCCAGTTACGCACAAGCTCACACCAGCCCATAGATCCCATAGCGACAGATTTGGTGGATGTTAATCCAAAACATGTCAACAGGCTTCATGGATGTTCGGACCTGCGCTTATTGTTGCTGCTTTGCCTCGTTCACTACTTGCAAGACTAGGTCAGGTAGACGTGTTACACAAGGCTGGTCGGAAAAGAGCATCTTAGCTTCATGATGAGGCGAAGATTGGGATCCCCTAACTAGTGAGACTCTTTGTGCCGGCCAGTCAGGCCTGCTCCTTGTCCACCTGTTGGAAGAGATTGCCACAATCACAGTGCTACACGCAAACAAGCTCAAACATATCTTGTGCTGAAAGCTGGACGACCACTGAAATCTTCCACTAGCATTCACGAAACACCCATTATTTGCTATGCACTGGATTTCTATCACCAGCTGATGCGAACATGCTAACAGCGAATGTGTGTTAATTGCCCGCTCTGGGTGCTGGAAGTGCCTCAGCAGTGCGTGGCACCAGCCTCAGTTACAAAACCAGTTTGAGATCATTGAGTGCGTGTAAGTCTCACTTTGCTTGGGAAGTCCCTTGTTTGAGCCTCGAACCATGTACCCACAGATGGCTGCAAATTCCAGCGTGGCGCCTGCCCAAACAACAACCTCTGCAGAAACACAAAATCCTCCGGGTTAGAAAACAACAATTCTTGAACAAATCTAGGGCATCCAAGAACGTTGTCCTTGATGATCATCTTGATGGTCTGGGTCTCCTTCACTTGAGTTATATATGTTTCCCTAAAGCGCTGGGAGTCAAACCTTCATTAGAAGTGTGAGCTATCTTCCTATTGCTAGTAGCTTACCTTCTCACTTGATCAAGTCAAGTAGGGCGTCTACTTAATTAAGTGTGGGCTGAAAAAGCAGGAATAACACATATTATAAAAACAATATGGAGACATGAAGAAAGCTGGGACTGCTAAGGGCTCCATGACCTAGGCCGTGGCACTCGTGGCACTGTAGTACCAAGCAAAAGCGATTTGGATCCAGCTATGAAAAGCCTATGGCTGGTGTATGGCCTGGCAAGCATCTGCACCTAACATGGATGCCCATGGGTTGGTCAAAATGATCACGTCCTTCCTCCCTGAAATTGCTTAAGGAAGATTAGACACAAAACTATGCTCTCACAGGTCATGATGGGTTGCTGTGACCCTGCAGCGGTTCCTGGTTGAGGAAACATTTTGATTCGAAAGTACTCCGGTTTTGATGGTGAAACTGGATTGAATCGTCTGATCGGCATGGTTCTCTGTTTTTCCTTGGATAGTTTCCTTTGTTCAAGATCAACACCTTGCATGATCTTGCGACTGGAAGCCTCCAATTCAAAATTCCCATTACACGACCCTTTTCGGGGATGTGGCAGCACACCCGCAATATGGAAACACAAGAAAGGAAAAAAACACGGCAAACAAAAGGAGAGGAAAGGCAATGTGACACCAGGGCCCTACGTTGCACCTCCAACCGCAAGGCCTTCTCCAGGCGCCCATCCGCCGCGGCCTTGGTGGCCACCGAGAAAACACGAAGAACAAAGACCTTGTTACTAGTAGCTTTATGTTGGGCGATGGCAGCCATACATGGCCAACCATCAAATAACTTTTTTGGGGAAAAAAAGTGAAAAAAAAGCAAAATAAAAGCAAATGAAAATGCAAAAACAAAGCAAAAACAAAGCAAAAAGCAAAAACAAAGCAAAACAAAAAGCGAAAAACAAGCGAAAATAAAGCGAAAAAAAAGCGAAAATAAAGCGAAAACAAAGTGAAAAAAAAGCGACAAATATGTTTTTGCTGTACCCTCCTAGGAAAAAAGCGAAAAAAAACGAAAATAAAGCGAAAAAAAAGCGAAAACAATGCGAAAATAAAGCGAAAAAAAAGTGAAAAAAAAGCGACAAATACGCACAGCTACATTTTTTTGCTTTTTTGTTTGCTTTGCCTTTTGCTTTTTTTTGCTTTGTTTTTGCTTTATAAAACTATTTTGGCTCCTTGTATCTATGGCTGGCGTGCCCGACATAATAGTAGCTTCTTGATGCTTCTTGTCACTAGTAGCGATGGCCTCCAATCTAATAGTGATGGCCTCCACCTAGTAGAATCCTTATTACTGAGAAAGAAAATAACAATGTTTGGCTCCCTTATCGTCCCTTAAAGATTGCCTTTCTCTAAAAGGGGCCCATAGGATCCCATGACGGGGCCCAAACCCTAGTAGCTTCTTGCTCCTAGTAGTAAGGCCAGGAGCCCCTAGTAGCTTCTTGTTACTAGTAGCCGTCCTTTTCATATTCTTTTCATTTATTTTTATGGTTCGTGGCTTCGGACGAACAAGAGCACACACGCCATTTGTGGACGAAGCCAGGGCCTTTGGCCTTCCAGGCCACTAGCCTTCGGTTTCCATGGTTCCGGTGAAAGCAATGCATCTTGGCACAGGGTAGGGATGGGTAGTGGTGTGCACATGGCGTCTCCGACAGTCGTCGAGGATTCAACCGAGAGAAATGGTGACATTCCAACTGCAGAAGGAAGAAGACACAAGCTTGGCTCCATGAGCTGTTTCAGTGCCTACAATAGCTTCCGAACTGTTCCTCAAACAGTTGTGGCAAATTCTAGGGCTTGTTCCCGCGCGGTTGCCCACACCCGTTCCCTGTCCGACTCTCCAGCTGCTTGATGACCCTGAGCAAGCGACTTTCTCCAGTTGCTCCTGGACCTCACAACGAAGGGAGTGACTTGCCGGGATACCTTTCAGAGCGGTAGAAAAGTACCAAAGAACATCAAGAAAAACAATAGTTCGACACATTTCGACACCAACCTGTTTGGAGGTCCGAAGAATGGTTTTACTGAACATCGGTGAAGAACTCCAGGTAACCCTATCCTGATTCGCGAAGCCAAGATCGAAAATCACGACAGCCGAAAGGACAAATATGGATAAATATGGAACAATAAAAGGATATCAACTTCCTGTGAGAGTAACAACGGTCACGGTTGTATTCGGAAACGAAACGGTTGTATTTGGAAACTGGGACGGTTGCATTCGGACACTTGTATTCGGAAACTACAGAACTATATTCGGAAACTACGAAGAGCAACACCAACACTATTCACGGAGATCATCAACTTTTCACGCAACTACCCACCTGTGTTTATTACCCCCCCCACCCCCCCACCCCACCCCCACAAATTTTAGAGAATACGAGGAACATATTTTTCCTGAATACAACATAGTTTCTGAATACGACGCAAACATAGTTTCTGAATAACCCGAAAATCGTTTCTCAATACAATGAAATAGTTTCTAAATCCCACAGTTTCTGAATACAAAGCAATAGTTTCTGAAGACTAGTTTCTGAATACAGCACAGTTTCTGAATACGACTTCGTTTGAGTAACAACGCGTGGCACATCATAAGCCTGTGAAGATTCAAGATTACGAAGTCTGCAGCGCAAGCTCAAGAGCCTAACCGTTTACTGAACAATATTGCTGAACTGAACCTGGAATTCCACAACATGCGCAGCTTTCGCGGTTCTCTGTGGTTGGCACCCGCATCCGAATGGCTGTCAAGTCCTGGAAATTATTTCAGGAATGTGTGGAGGAGGCGAATTTGTCGCCACGGCCGCTGATTCAACAATTCAAACCAATTCAATATATACTTGTATTCTAATTGTATTATATTAGGATGAATATGGTTATGATCACAGCCACTAGTATCTGTACTGTGAAAATCGTGACAAGCTGTCATCACAGTTTACAGTGGACATGACATGGATTCTCCTGCGTCTGGCACGACCCCCCTCTCATTAACTCCCCTGCAGCCTACCGTGGCTTTATTGTGGGGCCTTCTTGCTTGCAACTCTGGCCGTGAGGTCACCCCGTTGACTTTGGCAAGAGCTGTCGGAATTGGCTTCGGTGGTTCCCGAGGTCAAGCCAAGCGCTGGCTCATTTTGGAGCTCCTGCGAGCTAGCCTTCACCTCGGACAGAATCGTGGACAGGAGCCCACTATCAGCGGCCTGGTGCGACACATGGAAGTGCACTTCTCGTTGGTTCCCAGAACAACTTGGATACATGATACCCACTACGTGTCTACATAGTTTTAGGATGATTTAGGGTGATTCTGCAACTTTGGTAGGACTGTCCTTGGAACTGCTCACATTGACACTGCACTGTCGAAAGTCGTCGAAAGCAAGGATGTGTTGCCAAACTGTTCCTCGTTTTGGTGACATGGGTGTGGCAAAATACATCTTCTGACGCTAAATGCGTGGCTCTTGGCGTGAGAATAGACAGTATCTTAAAAACCTCTAAACACGCTAGCTCTCTATCCCTCGCTACTTACAATGTTTTCTTATTCTTTTGTCGGTCATCCCTTCATTCCGTGGGGTCGCACCAGGCTTTGTGACTGGCGACTGGTGCCATGCGGTGCCTCCACCAAAGTCTTTGCAACCCTCTTTCGGGTTTCGGCCTCAGAGCGCAAAGAACAACCAGCCTTTCTCTACCCGCTCCCTTCTCCTCTACGGGGAAATAGCGTGGTTTCTCGTGCTATTCAAGCAAGTGGAAGGCTCTGTTCAAGAATTGATGGCGCTCAAGACTGTCTCAGGACATCTTTCTTGCTTCCATGATCAGATTCAAAGTATCAGCGACTTGTCAGATCTGCCCTGGCCTCCTCGTTCTTCTGTATGTCTCCCAAGACTCTTTCCAACTCACCATTGGCAGCGGCCTGAAGAGGAAGGGCAAGGAGATCTGTTGTCGGAGACCGGCGACCATAGTTTCTGTCATTGGAAGTCAGTGGAACTTCCATCTACCCTACTAGTATGCAATATCTTTCCAATACTAGCAAAGAAAACATTATCTTTCAACTATTGAGGATCATTCTTACTAGCAACAAGAAGGCTAGTAGCTTGGAGGCCATTGCACTGTCATTTCGGTCTGGGGTCACCTGGGCCAGCAATTCGGCTGTCCGCTGTTGGACTCGCGCCAAGGTCTCCTGACGGTCGAACGCCGTTTTGGCTGTTCAGTTTCAGTCTCACAGGAAAGGGGCGTAACAGGTTGAACACCCGAAGCGCTCACAATGGATACTCCTATAACTTATGACCACTCACTACGGACAAGAATCAGCAGCTTACATAAACAACTCAGATGCAACCCAGTCAGCATCGTCAACCTTGCCTTAAACATGTTGGTGAGGATTAGAGGGTTGTGGATCAAGAAAAGCCACGTCTTGTCGATTTGAAAACAATGGTCACTGACGTCCACAGCAGGAAGTGGTTTTTGCACTGGTAAAGGATACTTGATCGAAAACTATGTCACAGTTTCGGGAGACCAGCGGCAGAATTTTCACTCTTTCTGGCAAACCCAGTGGAAGAAACCCCTCCACCACCGTGGTCCCCTAGCTTTTATGGCTTCTAATGACTCCCCTCCGGCTATCACAAAACGCCCCCCCATTCACTCACGCCTTGTTATCAGTAGCTAGCTCTTTGAGTGCTTGCTGTAACTCTCCAGTCTCTGCTGCCTGGCATTGCGATCCAAAAAACATGGCAACCGTGCGCACATTGAGAGTCATTCCCCTACTTCTCCCCAAATAACCTGTCTTGGTTGAGCTTTGCTTACAGAGACCATCATTTGTTTCTTGATTCTTTTCTTTTCAGCCTTTAAACAGGAAGCCATGACAACCATTGTGTGATCCTAAGTCCAACTTGAAAGTAAACAAAAGGCTCAGGTCTCGCGTGGGGAGGGTGGAAGATGGTTGCGTTTCAAGAGGCCGAGGGCCAAGTAGATGGACACTAGTAGCTTCCTTGCTCCTAGTAGCGATGCCAGGAGCCCCTAGTAGCGTCCTTGCTCCTAGTAGTGAGGCTAGGAGCCCCTAGTATAGCTTCTTGTTCATAGCCCGGATGGGAAGCAAATGGAAGCAGTCCCCAAGTTGCTTCAAGAGCACGGACCACGCCTTTTGGAGCAAATCGGCTGCCTTCTGACGAGTTGCGGCAATGCTTCCCTGGGCAGTCGCAGGTCCAGAAAAACATGTGGTTCACATATGTTTGCATGAAGACGACCCACCAGCAAAAAGTTCCCCGAAATTATGCAGTTTGTAAGATCCTTGTGATTCATGGACAAACTGAATGCGTGCTTTCGAAGTTGGGTCTTCATGTAAAAGTTCTTGTCGGTATCTCAAGCGAGCTGGGAGACGGCAAACCTCTTCTGCTGAAGCTTGCGCAGCAGCAGTGGTGATCAAATCTAGCAGTTCGATACAGGGGTCCTTCATGCTGACACCAATATCCGTACGTTTGATCGCCATTTCAGTGTGAGCCCCGGGAACTGATGTGGAATATGAACCAAACTGCCAAATGATGTCAGAGACTTTATTTGCTCGTTCTTTGCAAATCTGCAGTTCAACCCCTCTGTCCACAAAAGTTGCTATTTTTGGGGTGCTCTGTGGCACTGGAACAACAACTGACGTTGATATTGTGACAGCCGCCCACAATGAAAGTCTTTAAAGTCGTCGGAATTGAGGAACACCAAGCCATGGTTGCTCAATAGGAAGCTGGTCTACCGGATATTATTTGCATCTCACATATCCAGTTGATCCTAAACACGTCGACAGAACCTCTGCACATTGCTTCAAAGTCCATGAAGAACACCCGAGATCTTGTCTGCTTGCCAGAGTAGCAACAAATGCTGGGATTGAGGCCATCAGAATGACAAAGAGCACAAACCCTTTCAAGCGCCTTTTCCATCTTCAGCTCTGAGACCACCTTTTCCAGATTCCCGTTTTGCGCGGCCTGCGTCACCGGCTAGTGCAAACTGGTTGACTCGGGTGTGCTCCGAACATCCATGAAAAAGCCGGTCTCGACAAATCGGTTGAGATGTTTTCGTCACAGTCTTTCTCGACTGCTTGAGGAACCTTCGGATCACGTGAAGAAATGACCGTAATTACTGTAAAGCCTTTCACCACTCGTGGGTCATGTTAGACTGGCCTTTAAAATTGGACATATGCCTGGGAGGAAGGATCAGCAAACACTTCATTCGCATATCCTGCTCATCTGGGTGATATTTCGAGAGTACCTCATTTGGAGGCATTCCCCACTGACAACATGATAATATTCTTTGAATGATTTGGGAGTTGAAAATCTGACCACACTGATAGTATGCATTTGACGCCAACTATGAGGTGATACCTTTGAATATTTTGAATACCCCAACAATTGGGCCAGGAAGGTGTGTCTGTACGCTCTAAACATATCCAGTCACTAGCTCATCCCCACCGAAGTGGTCTGGTCCCTCATGTTTGCCATTAGGATTCCGATGTCCAAGCCCACACCTCCAGCAAGGACTCTCGTGCGGCTTGCCGGACACTGGCAACGTCGTCCTCCAAAAACAAATGTTTTGCCTCTCCATACATCTAACATGCCATAAGTAGACGGCTCTTTTTTTTGAACCTGAATACAGCTCTTGCTCAAAATGGGACGGTCTTACCGCCGTCAGTTCCGTTGAGCCCGCTGACAAGCCGGGTTTTAAACAATGGCTCACCGGGCCTTGAAGTTTGGCTTTACAACTCCATGTGCCCATTGGTAGTCTGCCAGCGTCTGCCAGTCCCAACCAAACCATGGCAGACGATATTCAGTGACTCCTTTTGAACAATAGCCGAGCGTCCTGAAAGCTGGACTGGGGAACGCCCTCCTGCACCAGAAATGTGAGAGGACCTCCCACCCACCAAAGATGGTCAGAGTTAACAAACGGTAAACTCACCATGGGCATGCAGCATGCACATTACTTGCTTCATCTTGCTTCCACTGAGCCTTGGGGCGCCTCAAACTTAGCCAGACTGAGCCGAACCCTCCCCACACGACACCTAGTACAGTATGTGCAAGTAGTCTCTAGAATTGGAAAGTTCTTGATGATCTTTTGTGCACCCACTCGTCCTAGTAGCGTCCTTGCTCCTAGTAGCGATGCGTGTAAGGTCACCACGTGAATTTCCTCAGCCCTGGGTTTTTAACGGAACGTGTTCCAAAAGGTCCTTTGGCCGTAGTCTCTCATCAAGGAACTTCTCAAGGGAACCATCTTCTGCCGCCTGCCACACACACAAACATCATCTGAGTGTGGCTCAAGAAAGAAGCAAAGCGCAAACATGTGCAAGAATGTGCTGCAGTTGCGCGTGCAGTCTTTTCGTGCATCAGTCTCTGTTGCCATCCATCACAACCAACTCGACCAACTATATAGCTCTTGCCAGCCTGTAACAAAAGATTTGCTGCCTTCTCTCGAAGTGCTTCCGGTGCTTCCTGCTCAAAACCACTCTGTTCTACTGCAGCTCCGCTGTTATCGTCCAGTTTCGACTTGAATGATCAGCTCTGAGCCTTGGTGGACTTCTCTTGCAGAATCCTCTCCAAAGAACCATCCACAGCTGCCTGTCTTTGGAACACCAGTGAGCATGCTAGTCTCTGCTAGCGAAGTGCAACCTGAATTTCTGAAAAAAGTCTTCAGTACTCTGAAAATTCAATACAACTTCAGCACTACTCTGAGGTGTCTCTCAACGCGTCCACACCTGAACGTAAGGTTAAAACAAGGGGGTGAAGGAAAACTATCACGTTACGGAAGTGTCCTACGAGGAACAGTGAAAATGGATGAGCATGCTATGGCCAGTTGTGTAGACGAGATGAACTTTGGTGATGTGAGGCATACATTCAAAGACATTTAGCCATAGACGTTGAAAAACATCGCGCTCACTGACTTGGCATCGCTTTTGGACTTTGGTTGCCATCAGTGTAAAAGTAGAGGTTGATAGCGGAGCTGAACATGATCCTACCTGCAGCCTGCGACGTTGGAAGTGGACCCATATGTTTAAAGAATTCTCAGTGATCCTCCATTGTTTAGATGTGTTAGCCCGATCTTGGAGGAGATGGATGGAGCCCTTAGATCCTTAGATACCCTTAGCCTCAAGAGACTAGGTCGAGTCGCACTCAGGGGTAGTCTCATGTCTGGCTAGGTTAGCAAAGTGATGTCGATTTGGTGTGCCGAGCTATCCATATCGCCTCTTGGCTCACAGGGCTGCCATACTAAAGGCAATCACACAGTGATTTGCCATGATTTTGGCAGATGAGATTGCAAGCTTTGATATGCAAAGAACCCAAAGGAGATGAGGCGACATACGATTGTTGCACTCTGTTTCATCTACAGTACTGCTCTGCTCTCTCTTGCATTTCAATTGAACTGAGGACAAAGCCAAAGCGCTAAACATAGAGATGCACACAGTAAAGACAGTCTCTTTCAATATGACAAAGAACTATAAACTATGACTATAACATCGTCTCTTCATGCCCCACAAGACCAGAGAGTTGAGCCGGAACCCGTATTCAAGAAAAATATAATGATATATTATGATCAATCCGTTGGGGCACCTCTGGTCTGGTCCCAATTCATTATGCTAAAGCAAAGGCAACTTATAGATGGCCAAGCATGGTCAAATATAGATCGCTAGGGTTTCGAGCTATGGCATTCACTTGGACGCTACGGCTAGGTGTTCCAAGCCTGTGTCAACAAGCCAGCTGCCTTCTTGCGAAGGTCTTCTGATGGCTCCTGATCAAAACGACCCTGGCAACAAGTGCGGCGACAAAACATTGGCTTGACTTGACTTTCTGTTTTCTGCCTGCTTCTTGGATTTTGCCTGCAGAATCCTCTCCAAAGAACCATCTGCAGCTGCCTGCCCAGATCCAGTTTCATCCCACAAAGAGCCTCTCTTTTTTAGATATGTTTTGAGATGAGCGAGCAAGATTGAAGGTCCCACACATCTTCACAGTGATATTATGGTGTTACACTTCCACAAAGAA